TCTATTAAAAACTAGAAATCTCGGATGTGCAACAGAAATTAGAGAGAGCCTAGGTCTCCTAACTTCATCTCTGTTTCACACTTTGTAGGTCAGTATCCAAGAGTTATTTATGACTCTGACCATTCCAATTTAAAATAAATCTGATAGGGGGCTTCTACTACTTTCCCCATAGGCTATTGCAGGGGTCAGCAACCTACGGCACACATGCCAAAGGCGGCACAGCACGCAAGCTGATTTTGCCTGGCATGCAGCTGCCAGCCAGGGTCCCGGCCGCCGGCCCTGCTCAGCCCAGGCCGGCAGGAGGCTGAGCAGGGCCGGGACCCCAGACTGGCAGCAGGCGTGCCCCCCCCGGCACTCCCCTCACTACGCTTGGGTTCTGCGGCTTCCGGGAGCGTGAGCCGCCGCTGCCCCTCCTGCTGCCTCAGCACTCTGCCAGCATCTGACCGGCATGGGCATGGTAAGGGGAGTCCTCGGGGGCAGTCAGGGAGCAGGGGGAGGATTGGAAGGGTTGAAAGTTCTGGGGATCCTGTCAGAGGGCGGGGAGTGGTTGGATGGGGCATGGGAGTCCTGGGGGTCTGTCTGGGGGTGGGGGGATGGATAAGGCTCGGGGCAGTCAGGGGACAGGTAGGGGGGTACGGTCCTGGGGGCAGTTAGGGTGGGGGGTCTCAGGAGGGGCAGTCAGGGGACAAGGAACAGGGAGGCTTAGGTAGGAGGTGGGGTTCTGGGGGGCAGCTAGGGGCAGGGGTCCCAGGAGGGGTCAGTCAGCGGACAAGGATCAGGGGAGAGTTGGGGGTTCTGAGGGGGCAGTCAGGGAGTGGGAAGGAGTGGATGGGGGTGGGGCTCTCCCCCTCCCCCCATCCTCTCTTTTGATTGTTGAAATATGGTAACCTTAGGTGAGAAGGGAGCCGGGGGGCGCATGAGGGCTGGTGCCCGCATGCATCTGTTGCAGCCTGCAGGAGCCTCCGGGAGGGGGGGGGGGTGGCGCCAGGCCGCAGCCTTTGCAGGGCTGCAGCCCTCCTGCACTGCGCCAGCTCCACCATGGCTGGGGCTCGCTGCTGCCGCAAGCGGGACACTCTGGCGCCTCTGGAAGGCGGCTTCTCCCTGCCGAGCTGCTGCAGCGGCCCAAGCCCGGCAAAGCCAGTGAGTGGACTTGGGGCAGGGTGGGAAGGTCTCGCGGGGGTGCTGTGCACCCTCCAGGGGAGTTCATGGGGTGGGGAGGGGGGAACCTGGTCTGGGGAGCAGCCCCTGGGCATGACTCACCCCTGGGGTCTATAAAGGCTCGTTGGGATTTGCCCCTCAATGAACCGATGTGGGGGGGCGGGGAGAGAAGGTGGAAGTTTCACCTCGGGCACAAAATATCCTTGCACCGGCCCTGCCCCAGGGGGTGCGTGCACCCCTGGTTAAGATCCACTGCACTAAAGTGTTAAGGTCTGAATTTTAAGTTTAAATGAAGCTTCTTAAACATTTTAAAAAACTTGTTTACTTTACATACAACAATAGTTTATAGACTTATAGAGATCTTCTAAAAACGTTAAAATGTATTACTGGCACACGAAACCTTAAATTAGAATGAATAAATGAAGACTCAGCACACCACTTCTGAAAGGTTGCTGACCCTTGGGCTATTGTAATAAAGTTTACCATTCAAGTAGGGTTATCAAAACATTGCACACTAACAAATCTCAAATACTGAGGGATAATTTGAATATTAAGTTATTTATATTAAGGACAGCATGACAGCTGGGAAGAACACATCCTGGGAAATAAAGAATCAGAGATCAGATGCAGTTCTCACCTATGGAATTTATTAGGTTGACTAAAGTAGTCTTTAAGCCCAAAATTTTGCTTATAAAATCTGAGATGCTTTTACATATGTTCTTAGATTTTTAAGTGTCCCCCACAGTAGTGTATTAGATCATAAAAACCAGAAAGCAAAACTAGCCTAGTTACACACTGCCAAATCTGAAAGTACTCAAAAATAAAGTCCCAGCATAAATGGTGAAAAGTTAAACCGTAAATTGTTTTTAATAATCAAAGGTGGCATTTTAGCAACACAGGCAGAAGAGCCTACAGTTAGAGTTTGGAGAATTCAGACAATACACACAAAAATGTTACTAGGCTCTTGCCTTTTGACCTAAGATTGTTCTGAAGTTTCTCTCCCCACCCATACACAAAAAACCCCAAACAATTAACATTTAACCAACTTTGGGATTTATTTTTGCCAGTTTTTAGCTTGTCAGATCTTTTCTCATTCGAGTCTCTGGTCAGCTAGGTTTTAGGTCTGAATTTCCTCCCTGCATTTCCCTCATGCTGCAGCATTCTTTCTATTTGAGGGAAATGACTTTTATTTCAGAATTTACAGATCATGTGAAAATAGCATCCAAAAAATAAATAAATAAAAGGTTCTACAGCAAGCATCCATCTTTCTGTCCTCCTTCTCTGCCAGTTGTTCATCAGCTAGCCACATTTAATCTGCCAGCAACTGCTACGCTACAAGCTAAATCTCTTGGCAGTCTTTTTGCCTCTAGAAACTTTTGATGTTGAATCACCTCCTTCCTACAAACTCATTTCCAAGCCACTAGAGATCAAGGACTCAGTTTTTAAGGGCAAGGTTTGTAATGAAAAACTTAGCTTGGTGGAAACTAAGCTTTCAACATACAGAGAAAGGTGATCGGACAACAGAGTGACCTATTATATCTGTACTTTGTCCTAAAGTGGTATCAATGCAAAAACCAGCAGCTACTCCCTAAAGGCTAGTTGCATATTCATATTATAAATTCATATCAAGATCTTCCCTCAGAAGTCTACCAAGACATACTTTAAAGAGAGTACACTCGAGCTGTGGTTTTACTAGGCTTTTCATTCTAATTGAACAGGATCCTATTTCTACCAGCATTGATATTTTTCTTTTATCAAATTAATTACAATTCCTAAAGTGTCACGGTTGGAGAACAATTCAGAAAAGTTTTATTTTAGCCAGAATTTGCACAGCATTATCTTTTTAAATATTGCAACAGCTTATGGGACATGTATATGTGATCTAGAATTTTACATGTGTTAAAATTATCTTTCAGCTATTAGCAATACATAAACCTAAGTCAACACTGAAAATTTAAACTTTCATTATTCCTTTTAAAATACTATCTTCCTGAAGGAGGAAGAAATAAAAGATTCCTCACCTCTGCAATGTATGTCAAAGGTCCCCCTCCCCACCACTAGTGAATTGGTTTATTGAATTAACGACTATGTGGAAACATAACTGAGGTTGGCCAGAAGGGATGGCTTAAGACAAAAAGGTATGAATAGTTTGGTATTATCCAGGAAATGTATCTTAAGGTATGTAACTAATTGTTTTTGTAACAATTTGATTAACTGAGGGATGGGTGGGGAAAATGAAGTCCGTACAGAAATACACTAGCCTTTCACTAGCTGCAGTGGGCCGTAAGTGAAGGGAAAAGGTATGTTGCAGATGAAAATACAGGTCTGACTACAAAGTTGGTGCTAATCTTTTAGCAATAATAACCATGCAGCCAAAGTTTAATAATCTTTGCTACCTTGTTTGCAGAGGCTGTGGAAAGAATGTATGCGAAAGATTGATAGTAATTTTGCATCATTGGGCAACTGAAACCTTTTGATTAGCTTAAGTACTGAGTGATGCGTCTGCTTCACAGGTACTCTGGCCCCTGCCAAACTAATTGTAACTTGAATGTCGTTGCCAGTTTGACAAAGTGGGTATTCACCCACAAACGCTTATGCTCCAATACATCTGTTAGTTGTTAAGGTGTCACAGGACTCTGTTACCAGTTTGTATTTCATACAGAATTTTTTTTTTTTGGACTGGTAATGGATTATACAGCTACTAGTTAAGAGTTAGCACTGTGATGAAATCAGGAAAACTTTTAAACAGAACTGGGCCAGATTCAGACCTTATGTAAACAAGTCCATTGACATCAATGAAGTTCTTCCCCAGGTTTAAATTTGGTTTCTTTGGCATTCTAATATCCACTTCAAACAGACAGAAAATCAGTTCTCTCAAGCTTTGTTGAAGACTTCCAAGCCCCAGTAGGCCTAACCTTATTTAAGTATAGATGTACCTTCAACCATTTAAGTTTGTTACTTCGTTTAAAACTAAATACTAGTTCTATTCTCCAAATTTACTCATGAGTAAGATTTTGTAAATAGTAGTTTTCAGTGCTTTTATGTCAAACCTCAGTATGTTAAGTGTAACTAACAAATAAAAAAGTTATTTGAATAGAATTTGACTAGTGTCATCTGAGACGTGAAACAGGCTCATAGCTTTCAAAGCAACCTCCATGACCGTCTTTGGCTCTAGATTCCAAGTGTGCCAATCTATGGTACTAAAATTAAAAAATATTCTAGCAATTGGAATAGTATTTCTTGGAAATTCAACAATTAAACAGTTACTTAAATTTAAAATCTGTCATTTACACAGGTTGATTTCTGCAACAAAATTTAGATAAGTCTGAAAGCTGCAGTAAACTTAACTATGCGAGTCATCTGGAATACATTGAATTCAAACTATTAAATGCATGGGTGTACTGTTTACACACCTATCCATTTAAGTTATGGACAACTAGAAAAAGTGGAAATTGAGCTCATCAAGTGTGTGCAAGATGTCCCAACTAATCTAGCTGTACTTGACAAAGAAAACAAGTTTACCCTTTGAAGTTACTGTCCATCCCACCTTCCTCAGTTTAAAAAAAAAGGTCTTGGTTTACTGAATGCATTGTAGAATGCACCACTCTGCAATACACTGGACAAATTGGATGCAGTAATGTAACAGATCTTCAGTCAGTCAATGAGGAAGTGTTTAAGGACTTGTAAAATGGATACAAAATTTGAAGCTGAATCCCACTATACTGTTAAGGGACATTCAGCAGTTCACCTTTAACTCAAGCAAATATTAAATATTTGAATTTTACTCTAATAAATTGGATATAGCTTTCCTACAGAGTCAACATTAATCCAAACACACAAACTTAGCATTAAACTTTGTTTTTAATGGTCTCAAATTTTGTGACAGATTTTTGGTCAAGTTGTTTCCATTAAAAAATTTACTGGTTTAAAAACTAATAACTTAAACTGCCACGAAACAAATGGTCCACAAACATTCCTTTCCTTCTGAAGCTTTTACGATGCATTGTAATCATTAACCAGTCTTTTACTATTAAACTTAAATGGCCAATTGAGACAAACAGTTCTGAGACCGTTCTTCCACCGATTAAGACTGAGGTGGCAGCTGATGTACAGAATTTTCATTTAGCCTTCTGAGCCTTCTGGGCGGACTTTGTGACCTTGCCAGCTCCAGCAGCTTTCTTATCAACTGCCTTGATGACACCAACAGCAACAGTCTGTCTCATGTCACGCACAGCAAAACGACCTGGAAACAAAATGACAACATTTTATAATTTTGTATGGGAGTATACAGATTCACACCCTGAATGAGGCAACTTCTGCACAGCACCACCACACAGGGTATGTCAGGAAGTAAAAATATAAAACTGAAACTGCAGGCATCTGAATGTAAAATGGAATTTGGCCTCCACCCATTTTAAAAGGGTTATGGAGCACTGGGCAAAATCTTATAGCAAGCTTAAAAGTTTCAATGACACCTCACAAAGTAAGTGGATGTCACCCATGAAACAACTAAGATTTCTAAAAGAGCATGGCACTAACATGCCATGAATTTACAAGTAGTTATTTTAGTGGACCACTTACCCAGAGGAGGGTAGTCCGAGAAGCTCTCAACACACATGGGTTTGCCTGGGACCATGTCAACGATGGCAGCATCTCCAGATTTCAGGAATTTAGGACCATCTTCCAATTTCTTACCAGAACGACGATCAATTTTCTCTTTCAGTTCAGCAAATTTGCAAGCAATGTGAGCAGTGTGGCAATCCAGCACAGGGGCATAACCAGCACTAATTTGGCCTGGGTGGTTCAGGATGATGACCTGTAAGGAAAAAACAGTAACTTTTCAAGCATAACCATCAGTTATTTGTTGGGTTAAGCTGTTTAAAAAACCAGGAGTACTTTATCTTCTAGAGATGAACTTCAAAATATTCACTCCAAAAAAGATCACCAGCCAATATTTGCATCAATCCATAACTAAGTTTCAAAGATCTTCAAGTGATTCTGAAAAGTACCTGGGCAGTGAAGCCAGCAGCTTCCATTGGGGGGTCATTCTTGCTGTCACCAGCAACATTACCACGGCGAACATCTTTCACAGACACGTTCTTGACATTGAAGCCAACATTGTCACCAGGCAGAGCTTCACTCAAAGCCTCATGATGCATCTCAACAGATTTTACTTCAGTTGTTACATTGACAGGGGCAAATGTTACCACCATGCCTGGCTTCAGGATGCCAGTTTCCACACGACCAACTGGAACAGTACCAATACCTGAAAAGAAAAAAAAAAAAAGACAACTCTAGGATGTTTACTCCTTCCAATTTAACTATGGCCTTATACAAACAGGTAGGACACTTCACAAAAACACATTCTCCTGCTAAAGAATAAAAAGAAACATTCTGGCAAGTGTTGCAATTTCTGCTTTTTAAAGAGATAGTGACAGCCTATCAATCTGACAGATTGTTGTATTTTAAAAAGCTTACTACTGGAGGAAAAGTTACATAACTATTCTTCACACAAAATACTTACCACCAATTTTGTAGACATCTTGCAGAGGCAAACGCAGCGGCTTGTCAGTTGGACGAGTTGGTGGCAGTATACTATCCAAAGCTTCTAGCAGGGTAGTTCCACTGGCATTGCCATCCTTACGGGTAACCTTCCATCCCTTAAACCAGGGCATCTAACAAAAAGCAGCACAAATGTAACTTTTATTTAGAAATACTGGAATGTAGAAATAGGAAGGACAAATACATTTAATCCTTGATATCTTTAGGTAATTTGTGAAACATGATCTTGATCAGAGTTTTAAACAGATATAAACTCCATTCAAATGCATTGTTTCTTAACCCTGACAATTCACCCTGGCTGTCCCTCCAACTTAATTCTAATATACAAGGTAAACAAACTTACATTAGAGCTAGGCTCCAACATATTGTCTCCGTTCCAACCAGAAATTGGTACAAAAGCTACAGTGTCTGGATTGTAGCCAATTTTCTTAATGTAAGTGCTGACTTCTTTGACAATTTCTTCGTATCTCTTCTGGCTGTACGGTGGCTCAGTGGAATCCATCTTGTTCACACCAACAATCAGCTGTTTTACACCCAGTGTGTAGGCCAGAAGGGCATGTTCACGAGTCTGCCCATTCTTGGAGATACCAGCTTCAAACTCACCAACACCAGCAGCAACAATAAGGACAGCACAGTCAGCCTTTGGGGGAAAAGATAAGTTATATTATTTGTGGTCTATGCAAAAATCAGAAAATACTAAAACCCTCAACTGAATTCATAGTGTTTACATACTTGGGAGGTGCCAGTAATCATGTTTTTGATGAAATCTCTGTGTCCAGGAGCATCAATGATGGTGACATAGTACTTGCTTGTTTCAAATTTCCACAAAGAAATATCAATTGTGATACCACGCTCACGCTCAGCCTTCAGCTTGTCCAAAACCCAGGCATATTTGAAGGAACCTTTGCCCATCTACAAAAAGAAGTGTAACATTAGTTGGCTTTCTAAATGACAGTTTAAAACAATTTGTATGCAGTGAACAGAGAAAATTTCTAATATAGTACAAGGCATCTTTTGCAGCTAGTTTTCTGTAATGCCAGTACAGCTTTGGCTTGAACACACTTGGCACAACTAGTGAGAGATTCCATCTCTTTTCTCAGTTATTTAACCTATGACACTTTAGCCTTCAGTCTGTTAATTATAGACAACCGATCTTTTGAAGTTAGACCTTGCAAAGACAAGCCCTCATATCAAGTGTCCACTGCAAGTTCTTGTTTTCATACCACTGTAATCTCTTCTACATTTAGAGTATGTGCTATTCACCCACAGACTATTTCTATAGCTAGTATAATGTTGTCACTCAATGTATCTTTTGAGATGCAGTCTCTTCTACTACATAGAAATGAAAGTACACCAATGAACATATGGAGCAGGCACATGCAGTAACAAATGTTTTTCAACGGGATATAGGAAGAGCCATGTATTCCTCTACCTTTAGAGAAAAAGACTGAATGCAGCAGTTGCTTACACAGAACTGTTTAGCATTGCCTGTCTGATTGAACACCCAGCCTGAAGCTGGGAACTCTGAAAATTCCTGCTGTTGCTGAAGTCACTGGATAAATCAGGTATTATTTTCTCCCTGTCCTGACAGATGGGTGTAGAGCTACTATCTGCAGAGTAGTTGAAAAGCGCTGCTTAAGTAACGAGCATGGTGCTATTTCACCAACCCAGGCTGCTCTCAGAGCCTCCATTTTGCACTTAACAGGCTACTGGGCTAATTAAATCTTCGGTACCTCCGCAGCTTCCTTCTCGAACTTCTCGATGGTCCTCTTGTCGATGCCCCCGCACTTGTAGATGAGGTGCCCGGTGGTGGTGGACTTGCCGGAGTCGACATGGCCGATGACGACGATGTTGATGTGGGTTTTCTCCTTGCCCATGATGGGTGGCTCGCGGCGTCCGGCTCTTTCGGTACAAAATCAACACCTACGGAGGAGGAAAAGTGTCAGGGATGATCCCGGGCCAGAGCCTCGCTAACGGGGGGCGGCGCCCGGCCTAGGGCGGGGCGGCCTCGAGGCCGTGAGTAGGCCCGGGCGGTACTCTAGGGCCACGGCTCCGCCCACCGCGGGGGGGCTCCACACGCGAGAAGCGCTGCCCCCCCCCGCCGGCTCACTCCCCCGAGCTGCCCGCGGGCTCGAGGCGCTGCCATGCGGCCGGGGCGCGCAGAGCCGGGGCCAGGCCCGGACGGCGGGGCGCGGCTCCTTTGTGTAGCTAACACTCCGCCCGGCCGCCGCGTCCTCCATTTTGTGGAGCTCGCGGAGGAGGGGAGGGAAAGGAAGCGGCCATCTTCGCTGAGCGGGCGGCGGGGAATGGGAGCGGCCCCTACTCCCCACCCAACCCTTCCCGCGCCGCTGGCCGTCCCGCACCACCAGGCCGGGGGGAGAGAATCCCCCCAGAGTGGCGATGGGGATTCCAGGGCCCCGCATGTAGCAGCCACTCCCCTCCCTGGGGCCCAGACCCCGCAAACAAGGAGTAGCGCGGGGGACACGTCGCCATTTTGTGGGCCCTCTTTCCCCCTCCCCCACCCACGGGGGGCCGCCGGGGCGCGTCCCCCCTCCCCCCCCGCGCGTCCCTTCGCCATCACCAGCCCCGGACCCCCGCACGCACCGCAGCTTCCCCGCGCGGGCCCGCACTCAGCCACCCTTACCCTCGGGCCCGACTGTTCCAGCCACATGGGCCCGGCCCGGCCTGCCCCTCCCCCACCAGGCCTGCGCCACGCGGCCACCGCTTACCTGCAAGGCGTCGGCAAACCCGTTGCGAAAAAGACCGACAACGTGAGCCGCTGCGCTTATATATCCTGCGCGGGGGCGGGGCGTGCGGGACACGTCACCGCCCCAGCGTTCCACTCGCTCCTCCCCGCCGCTCCCACCGCCCCTAGCGTCGGGCCCGGCAGGGAGTGGGGACAAAGTGCTGTGCTCGCCCCGAAACGGGGGGCGGTGCTGCTCGTCACAGCCCCGCTACCGGCCGCAGGAGGGGCAATCCCTGCGCTGCACCGCTGCGTCTCCCTTCGGGGAGTTTGGTGACGGCCCCGCCTGCCCAGAGGCCGGACTCCGGCCTTCGCCTGAATCGCGGCAGAGCCTCCCCACCCGCTCGGCGCTGAGCGTGGCTCACTCACTCCACCCCCGGCCGCCGGGGGCAGCGGCAGAGTCACCGCCGGGCGGCGAGAACTAGAGCTCTCTGCCCCTCCCATCCGCTCCCCATACACTGCCCCTTGCCCATCCCCCACACCCTTCCCCTCCCCCATACAGCCGCACACCCTGTGTGCCCCCTGCCCCATCTACCTGTCCCTCCCCCTACAGCCCAGCCGCCCTGCATCTCTTCCATACAGCCACATAGCTGCCCATCCCCCACACCCTTCCCCATATTGCCACACACCCTGTGTTCCCCCCTGCCCCATGGACCTGTCCCTCCCCCTACAGCCAGCCCCCCAGCCGCTCTGCATCTCTTCCATACAGCCACATAGCTGCCCATCCCCCATACAGCCACACACCCTCATCCCAGACCGTCCCTCACATACAGTCAGCCAGGCCCTGGGCACTCTGCCTCTCCCCCATCCATCCCTCCTCCTGCCTCCACCCCACACTCTTCCTCAACAAGCCTGCCTCTTTCTCACACCACACAAACTCATGGACCTTTTCCTTTCAGGAGCTCAGTCCTCTTGTCTAAGCACCATAGATGCTGGCTTTCCCCTTAAAATGTTCTCTATTTCTCCCACCTAGCATGTGTATGTACAACCTACCCCTCATTTCCCACCTTCCTTAAGTTCCCACCTACTGCCCCATCCCCCCAAACTGCCCTATGCCCTTAGCTACCCACACAGCCGACCCCCATCCCACACATAATTCCTGGTCCCTATTGATCCTGTTACTTCCTCCCATGTTTTCAAATCATCTCCACCACCACCTGTGCCACTCTATCATTCTTTCTTTACACATCTGATGCAAACACCATATGCCTTTAGCCCCCCCATGCACCTGTGTGCACACACCTTCTTCTCCCCCACAAGCTCACACAAACTGCCTTTGACATCCCAAGTGCTCAGGGAGCAGGAGGTGAATTTTTGGTATCTGTAAGCCAATGCCAGCTCTTGCCCTGCTGTTTGGCCCACAGAGAGTAACCCTCAGTCTAATCCAGGCACACACACTTCAGTTACTGGTAACTGTTTTTGTCCCCAGTCATTCATTGTAGCTGTGCTATCAGAGTGATACTCATTTGGAAGACAGTGAACAACTTGGTTTAAATGACAGGTTTCAGAGTAGCAGCCGTGTTAGTCTGTATCCGCAAAAAGAACAGGAGTACTTGTGGCACCTTAGAGACTAACATTTATTAGAGCATAAGCTTTCGTGGACTACAGCCGAAGAAGTGGGCTGTAGTCCACGAAAGCTTATGCTCTAATAAATTTGTTAGTCGCTAAGGTGCCACAAGTACTCCTGTTCTTTTTGGTTTAAATGGGCTATCTTGAGTTTAAAGTGTGATTCTCTTCTGAAAAGCATTTCTGTAAAAGGAGAAACAAGGTGGGTGAGGTAATTTTATTTTATTGGACCAACTTCTATTGGTGAAAGAGAGACAAGCTTTCAAGCTTACACACACTTACCAACAGAAGTTGGTCCAATAAGAGATATTACCTCTTCTCTCTACTATCTTGGGTCCAACATGGCTACCATGCATCCGAAGAAGTGGGTATTCACCCACGAAAGCTCATGCTCCTATACATCTGTTAGTCTATAAGGTGCCACAGGACTCTTTGCTGCTTTTACAGATCCAGACTAACACGGCTACGCCTTTGATACATGGCTACCACAACATTTCTATAAAAAGGACATCTTAAGGTTCCATGTTAATTGTCTCTCTATCAAATGCGCCTACTGTAGGGCTTGTCAATATTTGAAAATTAATTTGTATTAATAGAAGGTGTAAATTTAAAACCCAATTTCTGAGTAAAATCATGCTTGCACACGCTTACTCCAGAATACATGTGTCTTGTTTCTGGTTAGTGCATGAATTGAGCTAAACTAGAATTTCAGAAATTCAAGTGTCCGCATGTGGAATTACTCTTTCAAAATATCAGAGGGGTAGCCGTGTTAGTCTGGATCTGTAAAAAGCAACAGAGAGTCCTTTGGCACCTTTAAGGCTAACAGATGTATTGGAGCATAAGCTTTCGTGGGTGAATGCCCACTTCTTCGGATGCAATTTCAAAATAGTAATTTCTGAACAACTCCATGTGTAGACAAGCTCTTACAAATGAAGAGATTTTTTTCTTAGAGTCTCCCCTCATTCAGAGTCAAGCTGGGCTTTTCTCATGCATCACCATCAGTAATAAGATTCTGTAGAGAACATTATACTCTGTGGTGCTGCATCCATGTCATTCTCTTCAGTGGGGTTCCACAGGTGGAATTTAATTGGAACTTAGCTGGACCCTATATATAATATCAAGAGAACTGTTTACTAACTCTCTCTTAGCTATCAAGGCATTTATACAACTTTACCAGGGTATCTGAGCACCTAGATGTTACAAATTTGCAGTGCTACTTGGAGCAAAGATTTAATTTGCTCACTAAAATGAACAGATGTGACTGAATACTCATCAGGTCTGCTCCCCATGTTTAATGTAGGGTCATTTTTATATACCCACACTTTAGATTGGAATTTGGCTCTAATATGGTTGTGAAAGCTGTTCAAGAGTGTTCTTATTACCCCAGGGAATCAGACGATACACTTCACAGTATATGGAATTCTGAGACTGATGTACATTGCATTATAATTAGGATTCCCTGACTACAAAAGTAAAGCAGATTAGAAATTAGCAGAGCACATGTTGAAATAAAGGTGCAGCTTCAATACTATACACAACCCTAATAAGCCTCATGTCACTGAGGACATTCAACAAATGGATAGTTAAGGTTTTGGGTAATCACAGGAATTTTCCATGTCCTTACAGATATTAAAAGACATGACCATATTTTGGATGATAGATTTTTAGATGATTGACTTGCATGGTATATGTACAGGAGTATATTTGAATAATTATGGTTTAATTTAATAAAACTGAGGTGTGTAACATTGGATTATCCCACATTCAAGAGTATGCAGTCATTTGAACTGAATTTGTGATCACTGAGATTATGACCAGTGTATATATTTCAGGGTCTGTTATACTAAAACTCTGCATTTAATTAGTTTGGAAACACACTATTCAACACTCACAATGTTGGTGCTGTGCTCAGTTGTGCTTGGAATGATCACAATGCATGGATCTGCAGAAGATTGCTCATGTCCACACTACAAGATAATTTTCTAAACAAACCTGGGGAAGGGGGTAAAACAACTAGGCTTTCTCCATACTTGTCTTTGTTTTTCCTTAAGATTTCCCATGGTTGTCACCATCAGTTCAGTTCCACAAGAGCTTGAAACTGCAAGAGCTCTAGCATAAACAGCTGCTGGCTTTTTAACTACAGGCATCTAGACAGTCTCCAAGTGGGGCTAGATGACATGGTGGTAAAAAATGCCATTGGCATTACACTAGAGTTCCTCCCATTACTACTGCCGGTGGAAATTCTACAAAAAAAAAAACAACGTAGGCCAAGATTTTTCAAAAATGAGTTTTAAAGTCCATAGTTAGGCACCCAAATAAGTGACCTAATTTTCAAAATTAGTCAGCACCGGGTAGTCCCACATAGTGTTGGCAAAAATAATTAAGTTTCAAGAAAGCCTACCCAACTTATTTCCACACAAGCCAAATAATAGACAATATTTTCTGAATACTCTCAACCATCAGTCTGGAGATGAAACACACTCACAAAGGCCTCTCACACTATTCAACACTCACATTGGCTGGGAACGGTGAACCGTGGCTACAGGGAGCTGCGGGCAGCTGTGCAAATGTAAACAAACTGGCGGCCTGCCACCAGATTACCCTGATGGGCCGCAGGTTGCCCACCATTGGTCTAAAATGTAAGAAATCACATTTACAAAACTATGGACTAATACTATATTCTATTTACAGGTCAAAATTTATCTTGGCCAAGAGAACTATTGAATGCATTGATAACCCTGACAAATTAGTTCTCAAATTATGTCAACTGGGAGGTGTAAAACAGCTCCCAAAAGAGGATATTGCTAGGGATAAAACCTTCATGTTTTACATGGATTGAATTATTTTCTGGCCTATTCACTTGAGTAATCTGAGTAAGAAATCAGAAGGAATATAAGAAATTTTAGGAATATTTCAAAATTCATATAAATGAAAGAGAGGGAAATTCAGTTTCAACAGAAGCTACTTAAAAGGGTGTGATAAGGAGGAAGGAGAAAACTTGTTCATTTTAGCCTCTAAGGATAGAACAAGAAGCAGTAGGCTTAAACTGCAGCAAGTGAGGTTTAGGTTGGACATTAGGAAAAAGTTCCTAACTGTTAGGGTGGTTAAACACTGGAATAAATTGCCTATGGAGGTTGTGGAATCTCCATCTCTGGAAAGATTTAAGAGTAGGTTAGATAAATGTCTATCAGGGATGGTCTAGACAGTATTTGGTCCTGCCATGAGGGCAGGGGACTGGACTCGATGACCTCTTTAGGTCCCTTCCAGTCCTAGAGTCTATGAATCTATGAAAGCAACAACAAATATTTTTCTATTTGTCACTTTTAAAGGTGCCCTGCAAATGAAGGGGAGGGGGGAAGCTTGTGCCCTATTTCCTTCTTCATGCTGTACAGAGAAGGCCTTGAAGTGTTACGGTCTCTGTGTGTGGTGCACACACAAATATACATATATGTACACACAGTCTAAATACCCTAGTCACGGTGAGAAAGCTTTCACTTGACATCCAATACTCACACTGCAGCCTTCCAGGACTCCAATAGAGCTGAACTGCCTGTGATTCCTTATAGATTCATAGAA